AGTTACAGATTTCAAATCACCATTGGAGATATTTAGAATTAAAATAAGCTGCAAGTACCTATAGCATTCTTATTTCCAAGTAGCAAACCTCTACTTTTCAAACTTCTTGATCAATGCTTTAATAAAACTAGACATAATGGTTAATGAAATAAAGGTGGGAATTAAAAAAAAAAAACTGTTTCCTAGTTCTTGTGACTCATCCAGTAGCCTAGGAGTCTAGTGAGAACCTTCTCAGGACCTTTGTACAGCAGACATGGATTCATACATATGCTAAGCCCTGTCTCTCATCAGTTCCCTGGTGTTTTAAACATCCAGTTCTGTCTTTTGTAATGTAAACCTAAGTTTATGTTTCTAAATTTTATATTTTGGTTGCTGGGTAAAAACTAGATATGCCTGAAGGCATTAAGAAGTCTCATTAAAGAAGGGTTCCAAAATAGTGGGCATCAGGGAAAAATCCTGATTTCAATTAGGCCTTTGAGAGAGGAACTGACTCTGACCTTGCATGTTTGGTGGCTCTTGAAGAATCTTCTCTAAGTAGCACCAGCTACTCTCTATTTAAAAGTAGGCTTGTCTTGCTTAAGTCCAAAGAGTGTCTGGGCCTTCAGCCCTGAGGTAAGCATTTAAGGTAAGAAATTCTATAGTGGATATTCTAAAACTCATACAAGGGGATTCTGCTTCATCTTAATGATGTTTCCTTTGCTTTCAAAAGATCTCACTTTAATTTCAGGTTATCAGCGTTGTCCTGGCCTGGATCAACTTCATGTTCTGTATTACATTATTGCAAAAAGCTCTATTCCTTCCATTGGTCAAGTAAGGAGACTAACTCTCCTCCCATCCTACATACTAATGAACCTGAGAACCTGCCAGCTCTTTTACCTTAGGGAGACTTGTCTCCTCTGTTGTCTGGAGAGAGGTGGTTAAGAGATGCTGGAGAGAAGGGGAATTATTCTTTGGGAGTGATTTCTTTGCCTTCTTGTCCATCTTTACATCTTAACAGTACACACATTTGAAGCTCTGTGAGGTTTGTTTGTTTTCAAGAGATGTTTGAAAGAAGATCAAATGCTTGTGAAAGGCACTGGATTGGTGGTCCTAGAAACCGAAGTGTCCCGGAAGCTATGTGAGCCCGGAAATATCCCACATTTCTATTTATTTTGGCAGTTTTACTTAAAACTAGCAAGATCTGGAGTTCATGCTACAATTAAATTTCCCCAGGCACCATGAAATGAAAATTCATATTATGTTTTGATTTTAACTGGTTAAGAAAAATGGTGGTTTTCTGAAAAGTTCATTGTATGACCCTGAAATAAATACTAATGGTTCTTCATGTGGGAGAACCGGGCTAACCATTTAAATTGGAATTATTCATAGATATTATCTGAGTTGGAAGGAGTCTTAAACCACTGAGTTCTCTTCTGTCACGTGATGGAGCATCTATAATGACATCCCTGCGAAGTTTTGGGCAAGCTTCAACTCAACATTTTTGGTGATCTGAGACTCACTTCCACCTAAGGAGACTTCTTTTCTATATGGCTCTAATTTTCAGAAGTAAGTATAGTAATATCAGCTACTATTTTGATAATACTTATTATGTGTAAGCACCATTTTGAATACCTATATATCTATGTATATACACATTTATGCATATTTATATACATATATATTTTTCAGTAAGTCTTCACAAACCTATATGGGATATATTCCATTGCTACCATATTTGAGAGATGAGGAAATTGAGGTATAGATAAATAAGATAGTTTGTCTAAGAATATATAGCTAGCAAGGTAACTTTGATTTGAATTGAGGCAGTCTGACCCTACATTCTGTGCCCTTAATGATGATCTTATACTGCCTCTCCAACCTGCAACTCTCTTTTATGCCTAATATAGTTTTCAATCATAGATGATCAATAAAGTATTTTTGAGCCATTTTGTCTTGGATCATGTTTCCTTATATATCTCAATTAATTTTAAACACAATCATCAATTTGCCTTAAGAGAAATATTTGAAGGTGAAATGTGGGAATTGTAAATGTGTTTCTTCAAGAAAACACTGAGGAGATTGATAATATTCATTATGAAGTATTTAGCCAATTGCCCCCCCATTACATTGGGTCCTTGAGCAATTTCACTTTAAGCTAAAGGACATTTCAAACATAGACTTGTGTCTGCAAAGGTCTTTGCCTTTCCTCTTTTCCCTATACCTGCCTCACTAGTCTATGCCTAGGACAGGCGGAATCAATTCATCTCAACAGTGCCACTTATTTTTATGGTCTGTCTTTGTATCACCATGTGTCAGCCTATATCATTGATTTGCCAATCCATACAAGCATCCATCTGTCTATCCATCCAGTACAGTGTGCCATATATCACTAAGTCTTTGGGTATCAATACTCTAAAGGGGATTAAAGGATAATAGTTGATTATGTTTTCATGATTCCTACTGTATGGCAACCATAAGTAAGCATTCTTAGGATTGCTTTAGGGTTGATAAAACCTACTCCAAAAAGAAGTCTATTCTAATGCATAATCTGGGGCTATGTGAACTTATTTTAACTAGAAATTTCTATTTCATTTTAAAGTTCTCCTTGAATAAATTTTATTTAGTCTTTCTTTCTTTTCTTTCTTTCTTTCTTTCTTTCTTTCTTTCTTCTTTCTTTCTTCTTTCTTTCTTTCTTTCTTTCTTTCTTTCTTTCTTTCTTTCTTTCTTTCTTTCTTTCTTTCTTTCTTTTTTTTTTTGAGACATGGTCTCCATGTAGCCCCAGGCCTGGCCTGGAACTTGCTATATAAACTGGACTCGCCTCAATTTCATACAGATCCTCATGCCTCTGCTTCCCAAGTGCTGGGGTTAAAATTGTGCGCACAGCAACCCACTTTGAATTAAGTTTATAATTTAATTTAATATAAAATTTTGAATTTATGTCCTTTCTTTCCATAGGCATAAATTTTGAATTCTTTTTGCTCAGCTGTGGATACTTGAAGGGTCATTTTCAGGCTATGCTAAGGTGATATGACAGTAGTGTCAGCCTGTGCCTGAGGCTGACCCCCAAACAGGCAAATTTAGCATAACTCAGTGTCTCCTGAATAAGGTGGATGATTAGACGGCTCTGGCCTCAGCCTATCTTTCGTCTGGTCTGGTAATATAGGCTCCACTTTGCAACACACCAGCAGTAGCTTGGCTTTCATTTGGGGGGTTGGTACACTTCTTATTGAACATGAAGAACCTGGCAGAAAGGATGCTCCTTATACCAGGACTTTTTTTGAAGTAGGTTATTTGGATGAAACGTTTCAGTTGTGGATTTCAGTCACTTTATCACCCTGAAGTGTCTTCATTTGCTTGGCTGAGCACTTCCATCTTTTACCCTCCTTTAGTGTGGTAGTTCACAATTTGGATAATCTTCAAACATTTTCTTTATACTCTGTGACAACTTGTACTGATTAAATCAGGAGGCATAAAAGAGAAAGCCATCTATTGAGCTTTTCTTCACCTTCAGAAAAATCCAGCTCTCTTGTTCTTGATCACACCTTTGCTTGGGCAGAAAAACACCACATTAGGGAGAGACTTCATGTGTCCATTTCTGTCCCCTCCTTTCCTTTAGGAATTCTTTTATTGTTGACTATTTTGATTGTGTGCTCTTGTTTGCTGCCCAGAAGAAGCTTAGAAGCCAAGTACATTTTCATCTATGTCCAGTTCTCAGTATCCTTGTCTTTAAAACAAAGAGACTGAATCAAATTACTTCCAAAACCTTTTCCAGCTCTATCATAACACAGTCCTAGGGTTTTCATGGGGAAGCAGCTCATAGGCTTTCAGATAAAGACTTAGCTCTCTCTTTCTGAGAGAGAGAGAGAGAAAGAGAGAGAGAGAGAGAACATAGATAAATAGTGAACACAGATGATAGGTAGGTAGGTAGGTAGGTAGATAGATAAAGATTCTTTTCTAGGAGATATAATCAAAAGGTTGTAGTTTGACATCAGAAATTATTATTATGGACTTAATGCTATCCTCTACTCCTAAATTCATATGTTTAAGGTCCCAATTTCCAGAACCTCAAAAATATAATGCATCTAGATGTAGGTAATCAAATTAAAATGAGATTATTAATTTGACCCTCAATCCAGTAACACTGGTGTCCCTATACAAAGAAGATAATTGGACACAGAGATATATACAGAGAAAGATTGTGGAGGCACTAGAAGGAGGCCTCTGAGGGACTGATGCCTTGAATGTGGTTTAAGCCACTTAGTATGTAAACTGTGCTGCTTTGTTATGGCAGCCGCAAAAACTAATACATCTTTTATATCTGATACCAAAGTACAAAAAAAAAGTCCAGTGACTTTCCAAAGATTAGCTCACAGGCTTTTATGTAAATACTGGATGTTCTTTGGCCTAAACCCTGGACTTGACTAAGTAACATATCCTCCAATAGCATTGCAGGAAAGAAAATCTGGGAACTTCCATGACACAGTTCAGGCTTGCTGAGAATTTAGGGCTAATATTTAACTCTGAATATATATTGACACGGGCAATTTTTCTATTAAAGACTTGTACAAAATCTAACATGCATGCAAAAAATGTACTCTTTATCTGACTTTTTTACTCTGACACTTTCTGTTTCTTTTGAAGAAGTGTAAGGACCAGGGTGTGTCTTGTGGGCATGTTTTTAATGTTTCTGTTCCGTTCTTTCCACTTAGTATTTGCTGAGGCAGTCCTTTTCCATTCTTTCCACGTTTAGTAGCTACATCCCATAAAGGTCCTTTCTGCTTCTGTCATGCGCATTACGTAGCTCCGACAGGGCGGGTTCTCTTCATTTCCTCTAGAGCGGTTCCTGCTTCTCTGAGCTGCTGTTTGCTGCCCTTCCACTGTTGCCTCTGCCATTTTTCCTTTTTACCTCTGTGTTCACAGTTCCTAACTCCAGTAACCCTTTTCTACTTTCTTCTTTCCTCTGATTTGCTGAGATGCTTCTGTCCCCTCCTGTTCCCTTCCTGGGTGTGACTTTGGCCCACCTTTCCTTCTCCTTTGAGGCTTCATTTTCTTGTTTGTAGATGGAGGCTGGGACTGTAAACAGCACAAAAATAATTGCATTGAGAAAAGGTGGTTTCTCTGCTGAAGACAGAGTCTTTGACTCTGCCCAGTATGCCTGGGCTCCATGGGAAACAAGAGACAGCCTTGGTGCTGGAGATGGTTCTACAACTTAGGCATAAGACCTAACGTTCCAGAGCTTTGGGACTCACCTCTCATACCCACTTCTTCCTCAAATAGAAAGAATGAACATGCCTTTTGCCTTCAGTGCAACACTGTGGGTCTCCCTGGCCTGTGTATATCAATCAGGTTCTGAATAGCCCCCTTGCATGCCTTGAGGTAACTCACTGGGGTGACATCTCCACTAGGCCACTGTGGTTAGCCTTCAGGTTCACCAGGAAGCAGCAAAGGTGTCATTGTGAACTTTTGGATCTCTTATCTTGTGCTTTCTGCACACTGTTAGTTTTGGCTTCAAAGATTAAAACTACAAATTTACTTTTTATTTTTTAAAACATAGTTCCCCAAGAGATCTAAGTGACGGGTTTTTATCCCTGCTCATCTTCCTTCTTCCTTTCTCTCTTTTTTCTTTTACCTTTCCTTTATTTCTCCTGATTTCTACTTAAGGACGATGATTTTACTTAGGCCCTGATGTCCGTTTGTTCATTTATTCATTTGACAAGTCTATGAAGTGTCTAACATGCATCAGACGCTTTGTCTATTTCTGTACCACTGAGGTTACTTTACATTGTCATTCTTAGAAAAACGATGTCGGGCCTGGAAATTTTAATCATTAGACGTTTCTATGCATTCTTACAAACAGAAATGTTCATTTTAAGTGTTTTTTTCTTTAATGTATAGTTGTCACGGTGAATTTTAAATAACTCCCACTACTTGCACCACTGCAGAATCCCAGGACTTACAGGTTTTATTAGATACTAGGATGACTGGGAATCCCTGCCTAACAGTTTCTTGGTACAGGCATTTGGAAAATATCTTAGAGTATATGCATTAACTTACTTAATTCTGACAACAACCCATTGCATTACATACTATCATTATCACAATCTTATTGATAACTAAGACTTGCATAGGAATGTCATGTGGCCAAGAGGCCTCATGAGAAACTTGAGTTTTGCTATATTTAGTTCCCATTTTCCACCATCTTCCAATTATTAAGTTGTCCAGAGCAGTAGAAGGGATAATTTGCAGTACAGGATGATAGAAAGGATGGACCTATAAGCCATCTTGGTGGGAATGGAGCTTTCTTTTTGGCCTGTCATCCAGGAGACACACAGCCCAATTCTGATTTTCTCCTCACCCCATGTATAAAAGAGCACTCGAGAATGGCTGTGTCCCACACCCAGGGGCTTACCTTTTGAGTTTTGGGCATATCAGTGTGGCGCTGGGCACGGACAGATCGGGCAGACTTTGCAGGCTTGAGGGGCGCACAGTACATCTCCAGTCTCCTTAGATCACAGCTCCGGAAGCAGCATTCATCCACAATTCCTGTCTGAGGTGCCCTCCGACTACTGGAGCCGTAGCCTGTGGGCTTGTCTGCATGAATTAGAATGGCCTTATGTTAGACAGAGTCAGCCGTGTTCACGGACTTCCATCTAGCTCCGATGCTTCCGTTTCTATGCTTCAACTCTATAAACTTCATCCAACATGTCACGTTCTTCTTGAAGTGTGTCCAAAAATGCCTAACACCATAGATTCTTCTAGATCACAGAATCTCCTGGAGCCATACCACACTCATGAGTATGAATTCATTCACCATACATTTTATTTGTATTCTGCCCATGTTCTGCATAACCTCTAGTCAAGGGTATTGTCTACATTCAGCTCTAGCCTTATGCTAGCTGGTGTCTTTGCTGAGAGACCTAGGAAATGCTAGTTTAAAGAAAATAATAAATCAAGTTTCCCCCCCAAATTTTAAACTTACTGATTTATTTTTAAATTGACAGATAATAATTATAGGGTACAGTGTAATACTTTGGTATGTACACATATACATTGTGTAATGATCAGCTCAAGGTATGTATGCTATCCATAATCTCAAATGCTTAGGCAAGACCATTCTTTAATACATGGTGCTGGGAAAATTGAGTCTTCTTAATCTTTTTAGTAAATTGGTATAGTTTTAATACACTGTACAGCTCAATTGTTCTTTCATTTAACAATTCACTACAAAATCAGATTACCTAAGAATGAAGTTTGAAGTACAGAAAGAGATCCTTATTTTATTGATTGGGAAACTGAGACTCAGAGTTTAAATGACTTGCTCAAGGTCATTCATGTAGAAATAGGTAGAGTCAGGACTCAAACTCTGATCTACTTGTTGTCAAGTCCAAACCTCATGAAACTTAGAAGACCTTGGTGTATAATTCCAAAAAAGCCATTTAATCTCTCTAGGCCTCAGTCTATTTGTATAATGGAGTAATGACATCTTCCTTATCTGAACTGAGGAGAAGGTGAAATACTGTATCAGATGAAATAATATGTAAAGTGTCTAACACAGCACCTGACACATAACAGGTCTTAAATAAATATTAGTTTGCTTCCTTTAGGTACCTTTTCCAGTGTCTTACATCATCTATGAAAAATAAGCATTACTTGTCCAGAAGCCTGAAAACTCAGAACAGATCAATACCAATGGGAAAACGGCTTCAACTGTCACCCCAAAAAGCCTAGAGAAATCATATCTGTTTTCTTACAGAATAATGACTGGACTGGGACAGAAAGCATGAAAGCCAGAGAGAACACTGCAGTTCAAATATTCTTTGATATTTACTAATCAGTTAGACCTCTTTTCCTGACAAGTGGGTTTTGGTTTGATTTCATCTTGTTTTGTTTTGAACCATACTTTTTTTTTTTTTTTTTGTCTTTTTGAGACAGGGTCTCCCTGTAGTCCCAGCTGTCCTGGAACTCACTATGTAGACCAGGCTGGCCTCGAACTCACAGAGATCCTCCTGCCTCTGCCTCTTGAGTGCTGGGATTAAAGGCGTGCGCCACCATGCCCGGCTATTAAACCATACTTTTACTGGGTCTCAGAATTAAAGAAAAGATAAAACAAGGTTACATGGAATTTATCATGCACTTAAATTATCAACTGTTGTCATCATCGATACTTTGTTAAACCAAGTGTTACCTATACATGAGCATATAAAAGAAACAAAACACAAAGCTGTGTTATCCCTCTTGGGGTACACAACTGTCTTATCTCCCTTACCTTCTTTGGGAGGTGGGTTGCCTGGGTTCTCTCTATTGTCTAGGCTTTATGGAAGAAATTTGTCAACTACTAACCCCCAAAATCCAATTAACAATCTGACACATACTCAGTCTTAATTTCTGACTCAAGAGAGCATAACATTAAATAAAAGTTTATGATCATGTAAATAATGACTCCATGCTTAAAGATGGGGTTTTGAAAGTCAGAATTCTCATGTCTATTTTCAACTTCCTCATTGGGGGAGATCAGGCCCATGCAATGGCTCGCTACCAAATTAGTTGGCTGCCTCAGTGCTGGAGAGGCCAACGGTTCATGGCATCCTCTAAGAACCCAAATGTTTTCCTGATGTTGGCAGAGGAGTTTGGTGGCTGCTTCCTCCCATAAGGCAGGTTTATTGTCATTCTTAGGGCAGCTGGAGGGTTCATTTGTGGTCTCTCTGGGCAGGATCTTCAGCTCTCTCTGACAGCAAACCCTGTGGGCTCCTTGTGGTTGTAGGCTTTGGGAGGGATCAGGCAGTTGGCCCCTTTGGAACTTCAGTAGTGCTTTTGCTGGTCATTGGAGGGACGGCTAGCATAAAAGAAGACTCAGCTTTAGGTTGCCAGCTGGGCCCTGGTGAGTTGAGATTTAGCTGGTCCCCCAGGCAATGTAAACAATGTGCGTGTATGTTTGTGTGTGCGTGCGTGCATGCGTGCGTTTGTGTGTGTATGTGTTTTAATAATCTTGGGACTATAAATTATAGGAAAGACACAAATGTGTTTACATGGCTCCTGCTATCCACAAAGGACTTTTGCATAGTTTTGTTAACTGGCTAGCCAAACAAGACTAAGGGATACATTTGGTTTTTCTTCAGAGGTAGAGGGAAAGGAGAGGTTTTAGTCTATTTTGCTCTAGCTATACTGGTAGTAGCCTTCAGGTAATGACTGCTTTTTTGTTGAAATTATACATTTCTCATTAGGGCATAATCGGGAGTCACTTGCTTATGGAATAATAATTTGAGGTTCGGAGGTGGAATAATAGGAGTGGTTCCAGAAACTTTCAAACTTGGCTCTCTTAGGAAACAACTGATTTCACACCTCAGGCTTATGGGTTGAAAATGAAGAAGGACAGATTTTGGGACTCTCAGACTTATTTAGAACTTCCATTTCAAGCACATCTAACTTATTCCTACTTCTGAGATTCTTGCTTGCTCCAAGAGGAAGATGCCAGCCTTTATCCTGAGATAGCAGAAACCATTTCCGTGTGTTTCATGTCCTTTCTTGGTGACTATCAACAGCAATGAAAACTCTCTCCAGGTCTCTTTCATCTTATGAAATAGATAATAATTACCACAGCAAAAGTAACAGGCATACATAGTGCCTTGTTCATTGTCTTTCTTATAGGAGCTAAGTTTGATGTGGTTAGTTTTAAAAAGTAGCTGTACTTTTTAGTCCAAAGACTAATGAATTTTAGAACAGAGAGCTTTAGGACGTTCCTGTAATATTCAATAAAGAAACTAGATCTTATGTCGGTATTTGTTTTTTAGAATACTGCTGGAGTGGTGATATTCATACTTGGGTTTTTCCCATGAATCTTCAGCTACCATAATTCTAGAAGCCTGTGTTTCTTTGTCAATTCATAATAACTACAATAGACTCATTGTACTTTATATATAAATATAACAAATATTTGCCTATTGCCTTTTAAAGCTTAATTCATCCTTTGAAGTATCCTATAAGCTTGATTTCAACAAACAACCATCATCTCTCACTAATTGAGAGACCACAATTTTGGGTTAAAGTCTTAATTTTGTCTTCAAACATATATTTCTCTTTTTACCTCCCAGGATCACAGTAAAGATACTTGCTGCTATGGTCTAAAATAAGAAGCCTAACACAATATAATTTATTAGAAAGGCAATAGAGCAATTTTCCCCACCATATTTTGATACAAATAGGGATTTCAGTGACCCATAAATTACAGCTAATTTCAATCATTTGAATTTTTTTAAAAAATGAGATGGAACTAAGTGCTACATCTTTGTCTTTAAAAACTCATTATTTATTTTTGCTTCAATGGGGCAGAATAAGAATTAGCAGGTAAACAGAAAATAACATTGGCTTAATATAAGAAAAATATTTTAAAAGTGTGATGCTCTACTGACTGAACTAGAGGGAGAAGTGGGTCTGAATATGATCAAAACACATGGTATGGAATTCTCAAATCAATATAATATTAAAAACATTTTAAATGATCTGAACCAGAAAATGTTAAAGTAGACACTTTATTTGTAGTGAGCTCCCTATTACAGAAGACAGTTAAGTGAAGGCTATGCAAACATCTGCCAGAGATTCTAGATGCAAATTCCTGTGTTGGAATACAGGATGATTGCTGTGATCTTTTCTATTCCAGAGGTTCTATAAAGAATCTTTGCTGAGGGACTTGAGAGGCACCTCAACAGTTAAGAGCCCTGACTACTCTTGTAGAAGACTTGGGCTTGATTCCCAGCACCCACATGGCAGCTTAACACCTGCCCGTAACTGAAGTTCCAGGGGATCTGACGCCCTCTTCTCACCTCCGAGGGGACTGCACAACATGGGTGCACTTACATACAAGCAGTCAATACACTCATATACATAAAATAAAAATTAAAAAAACAATCTTGGCTGAACAGTCAGTTTGGTTGGAAACCACATATATTGTCGTCAAGAAAGAGGTTCAAATGTTTATAAATTGAGAAGGGAATTTATTTTTCTAATGATCATTCAAGTTCTCCAAGATGCTCAAAGCACTTTTCATTGTCTTTACTCAGGGCAAAGCAAAAGATAAGTGACTGAGATAGTTTCTTTTGCACTGAGATACAATATCAGAGTTCTATTGTACTGTCTATAAACTAACTCAACTGTTAGAATAAGCAGACATGTGTAACATTGCACAGATGTTTTTTCTTGCTGACAAAGTCTTAATACTGAAAATTTGTATATTTATATACTTATTTTTGTCACTAGTTTTGGTTCAGAGGCTTCCTAGCATGTAGACCAAAGGCTGCTTACTAGAAAAATTGACCACCATTTAACTTAGACTTTGACTCCACTATGAGTAGACATAATGTTTAGTCATAATGCATTGCTGCATTTTGAAAGTTCGCTAACAGATAGGACTCCAATGGTTAAACAGCTGGCTTCTATAATATCCGCACTTCCCTTTAAATTATGCATGGTCAGTGGAGTAATTCAATAATCTTCAGGGCAAACTTGCTAGTTACAAGGGTTTTGGCAGAATTGTGACATCATCAAAACCACACCAATTAGCTGAGTATCACATTTTGTCGTGGATGCAGGCAACTCTT